ACCCGAGGCGGAGGCGGCGGGAACTTTCTGCGGTTTCTTTTGAAATGGATTGGGAGTTTAAGGTCCTGGCCCTGAACGTGCGCGAACTTTGGTGTCCAAACGTCCTGCCCCTTTCCCTCTCTTCGAGGACAGCGGGCGCGTTGGGAGGATGGCCCTGGTGATTCCGGGGCGCGCCAAGTGGCACCCGGGAAGTGAGACAGGGTCAGGGTCCCCCCCAGAGGCCGCATGGCATGTTTGATAGTGCAGTCAGATACACAGACTTGCAGTGAAAAGGGGACGAGTGAGGCACGGTTCTCTCGGCGGGGTGGGGGCTGCTACCGCTGGGGTCGGCTTGAGCAGGCCAGTGGGTCAGGGACAGGCTTGCAGTGCTGACCGCTTCGTTTTTGGGAAGTAATTTGTACGCAAAGTTCACTTTACTGTAATGCCGAGAGGTTGATTATTATGTTGCAAATGTTGAGTATTTTGATTATTATGTATTTTTGGTGTGATTTTTCGTACCATCCAGTCTTAGTGTGGTTCCCCCAGGTGTGTACTGAGTAGTTCAGTTGCTTGGTGTACTCAGGGGAGGGACGCATAGTAACTTCTGTATTCAGAGAGTTTGTGGCAGGAATGAGGAACAGGAACCGGTCCGAGGTCATCCGAGTTGTGTTGAACGATCAGGTGGCAAGGTGTGAATTATTGAGTATTGTCGAGCAGTGGATCCTCAGGTCTAGTGGGGATTCAAGTCCAGCTTGCTTTATTTATTTATTTATTTATTTTTTTCCTGTACCGGGAGTCGAACTCACGACCCTGTGCTTGCCAGGCCGGCACTGTGCCGCTGAGCTAAATCCCCAGTCCCTCAGGTCTAGCTTTAACTGTTGCTAGGTTAGCTTATAAAAGGTTACTTCTTTTCCTGTGTAACCTATTTTAATCTAGTAATGCTGCTTACTACACCTGCAGGTGTGTTGTTACAGGTGCACACAGTACTTGTGGCAACTTAGTCACGTGTTAACTTACTCCTTTAGACTCCTGTCTGTGAATTAACTTATTCTCCCGAATAACTGGGGGACTGTGGAATTTTGCGGGGAGGGAAGGCTGGTGAGAAAGAATTAAAGCACCTTGTCCTAAGGACAAGACTATATATAAAGCACTCCTAGATATGTTCTAAGTTATTTGATAGATTTGTGTGAGGCCAGCTCTGTAGGAGAGACTCATACAAAGGAAGTGGATGTAAAGAGCCACTGGGAAGACTATGGCTTGCCCTGGGGTCTTGTGGAGGAGAAGCCTGCCAGGCCTGGCTGTCTGCAGGGTCGGACTTAGGCAGTAATTAGAGCACAGCCTGCAGTGTGTATGAAGAGTGTGTGAATCAGAGCCAGGAGGAAATCTTACTGTAATGATTCTCAAACCACAGCACCTCTGAATTTGCACAAGATTTTAGGAGGTGTGCCGAGAGCATTTAATTATGACACCAGTGTCAAGTCAGTTCCCTGTCTTTCCTGTTCCCTTCAAAGTCTCAGATTTTGCCCATGAAAATGAAACATAGTTTCTCTTAGTTCGTGGAAGGGAATACTATGATCACCTGTCTGAATGGGTGCCTTTAAACTTCTTAAACATGGCCAGATGGTTTGGTATGAAGAACAAAGAAGTAGAGCAAATCAGCTAATTCCCAGGTGCTGTAAGTGTCTAGGCTTTTTGGGAAAGCCATGCCTCCTTCTTTGTCCTTGTTTTCTTGTACACTATTTGGTTTTCGCGCAGCTTTCTGCCCTGAGGGGAGTTGTGCCCGGAAGCAAGGGGATGGCATTAGTGAAGGTGAACAGGACAAGATGGTCTTCTGAATAAATAATGTCAGTGCCTCAAAGGCTTCAGAACTGTTGTAAATGGAAACAACTCCTGACATATGGCTTGGTGTGAGTGACTGTTCAGTTCCCATGAGAAATGAAGGTGTTTTGTGTTTTGTTTTGTTTTGTTTTTTGTCTTTTTGAGACAGGGTCTCGCTACGCAGTTCAGGCTGGCCTTGAGCTCACTTTGTAACCCCGGCTGGTCTTGAACTCACAAAGATCTCTGCCTCACTCTCTTGAGTGCTGGGATTACTGGTGTGCATCGCCACGCCTGGCTGATACTGAGTTTTATAAGTAGTGCTGAGATTACCAGATATGGATGACATTGCACCTTTAACTATAGTGTAGTTGAAATGTCAGCAATATCGAGGTAAAAATCTAGGTCCAGACAGGGGAAGGAGGGATGAAGATGAAGAAGAATGAAGGATGAAGAAGGTTTCCTTCTTTTTCTAAATTCATGTCTCTAGGGGACAATTTTAGAAAACAGGCAGTCTAAACCTCTTCTGTGCCCTTTTCCCTAGTGGCAGTCTGGCTGTCTCTCCTCAGGTGTTAAAATGGCATATAGAATACTGTACTTTTAGAAGCTCCCAAGCTAGGCGTGCAGCCTGTAACCGCGGCACTTTGGAGTCTGAGGTAGAATTGCCTTGAGTTGGAGGCCAGCCTGGACTACAGAATGAGACCCAGTCTCAGACGGACAAAAACAAACCAAAACTACCAAATTGGAAATTCTTACTGAATATGGATGACATAGTCCTTAACCCCCCACACTCTGTGCTGGGGATCTAACCCAGAGACTCAGCCGTGCTTGGCATGATTCCTTTCACAGACTTCCTAAGATGACGGAGACTCAAACCCACGCCCTAGGAGTTAGGTCGAAGTAACTAGCAACACAGCCAGGAAAAGGGAAGACTGAGGAAACATTTTGCAACTATGATGTAGAAGGGGGGGTTGGAGATTTTCTGATGGTGCCAAGGGCAGAACCAGGGCCAGTGAATGGGAGAAAGATGCCAAGTTGAAGCCATGAAAAAAATCCAGAGGCCTGCGTGATGGAAAGGCTGTAGTCTTGGTGGTGTTTATGGTGAGTTAATGGGAATGGATAGAAAGAATTCCTCCCCCTCATCTAAAAAGAGCGAAAGAGAAGAACGAGAGCAGTGACACGAAAGTAGAAGAGAGACTGTTAGAGAAGAGGAAGGTACGGGCGGAGTGGGAGGAAGGGCAGGGCAGTAGTGGGGGTGAAAATGATCAGTGTGCGTCCGTGCATGTGCAGATACACCAAAGCAAAGCCCACTGTAAGCTTACGCACTGACAGTCGTAAGAGTCCCTCTGTGCCGGGGGTCCATGAGCCAGCCTTTCAGGGTCCTGACTAGCCCTGGGTCCAGGGTTACTCCCTTCAGCCTCCCCTGGTCACCACTTATATTCTCCATGGCTCCCATGGCAGCTGAAGAGGAGACGGCAGACGAACAATTTGGATTCCACAGAAGTCCGATTTCAGAACTTAGGTCCTTTGTACACTACTGATTGTTAAGCTTGATTGTGGAGGACCTTACCTTCTCAGCACAGTGACTGATTGTGTCTCTGACATTGTCATTTTCTCTCTAGGTGTCTATAGGACGAGGATTTGGTGTCACATACCAACTGGTATCAAAAATTTGCCCTCTGATGATTTCTCGAAACCACTGTGTTTTGAAGCAGAATCCTGAGGGCCAGTGGACAATTGCAGACAACAAGGTATAGGAATTCACAAAAGCCTATTTCTATGGAGTTTTTATTTATTTTTATATTACTTTTCTTTTTTTCACAAATAGGTCATGGTATAAAATTCAAAAGTTTATCTTCTCCCTTGTCACCTAGCTGTCTTTCCCAGTTGGAACCATTCTGTGCACTGGGAGGTTCGGTGATGCCCACATAATTTCTGATGACCTGGGCTGAAGTTTGTTACCAGGAAAGGAACATCTGAATTGGGGCCTTCGGTCCTGTCCAAAATCTAGACTAAGGTAGTGGGAGGGCTGGGCCTTTCGAGGTGAAGGCCCAGAGACCCTGACCATCAGCCCACACTTCTGGAGAACATCTGAGGCTCAAGGGACGGGCTGGGGGTGGGGGAGAAAAGAGCTGAGCGCTCTTGGATCCATCCTTTCTTGAGCATCAGTCAGCAACCCCTTCCCTATTTTATTTTATTTTATTTTATTACTTTATTTTACTTTTATTTTGAGGGAACTGACTTTTTGGAGCCGCTATGACAGTTTTAGTAGAATAACTCTTGAAAGTAAAACTACCCCCTCTTGTTATTTTTTATTTATTTTCAGCTTAACAGATGCTCTTTTTTCCTGGCTTGATGCCATGGCAACCCTCTTCTGCTGATGAATTCAAGCTGCAGGATATTATTGCTATGGTTATGCTTAAAGTCTTTTGCCAAGTCTGTTTCAAAAGATATGTATTAAAAATGCAAGAGATAGATGTATTAAAATTGTAGAGCTGTGTTCTGTCTTCATAAAATGCTCTCCTTCATTTATTTATTTTTTTGGTACCAGAAATCGAACTCAGGACCTTGCTCTTGCAGGCTGGCACTTGTGCTGCCAAACTATATCCCCAGCCCTCTCCTTCATTTATTGGAATGTGCTTTTTTTTTTTGTACCAGGAATCGAACTCACGACCTTGCACTTGCAAGACAGATGCTGTACCACTGAGCTGTATCCCCGGCCCTAGAGATTACATGATGTGTTTTTGGTTTTGTTTACATTTATTGGAATGGCCAAAGAGTGAACCTAAGTTTAGAAATAGAAATGAAAACAGATGCAGTTTTGGTATAAAACATCTTAAAACACATATGCACATGCTCACTCGCACAAGCGTGGAGGATAGCGAACACAGCACATAAAACGTGAGAACAGCTTTAGTTGTGCATGTGTAGGTTCCCATCCGTTGGGAAGCACTCAGATGGTTCATCTTTTGTATTGGCATTCAGAAATTTCACAAAGTCTGTTCTTTCAGAGTTATAATCTAAAATGCCTTACTGTGTGAGCCCTATCTTAACTAAGTGTTTCTTGTTCTTCCTCTGAACTCTTGCAGCTATTCACCTGCTGCCTGGTGATTCTCACCTTCTTCCTCCAGGTTCTGAGAGCGTACTTTGTATGAACAAACATTATTGCTTGGGATAGTTCAGTTTCAGGCCTTCCAGCATGGTCTATAACCCAGTTTCCTGTTTCTGCCACTACCTGGCATACTTTTTAGAAATACTTATGTAGTACATAAAATTAAGAACTTCCAAATGCATGTAATTCCAGCGTTCAGGAAAGCTCAGGCAGGAGGATCGAATCCTGCCTGGGCAACTGAATGAGGCCCTGTCTCAGAATAAAAAATAAAAGTAAAAAAGGCTGGGAATGTAGCTCAGTGATAGAATGTCCCCGAGTTGAATCCCCAGTACTGCATACAAAATAAAACAAAGCAAAACATGAAAAATAAACTTCCATTCTTCAAAAGACACCACTAAGAAAATGAAAAGGCAAACTCAGAGTGGAAGATGTTGCTATACATAAATATATAACTGATGAAGGGCCTATATTCACATATATACTGAATCCCAAATGAGTTTTGTTTTGTTTTGTTTTGTTTTTGAGTAACTATGTAGTTCAGCCTGGCCTTGAACTCACTATGTAGCCCAGGTTGGCCTCAAACTCACAGTGGTCCTGCTGCCTTAGCCTGCTGAGTGGTGCTGGAATTACGGGTGTGTGCCACCACTTCCAGCCCAAGTCAGGTTTTTAAAAAAGATACAACCCAGTTTTCGTAGCGACTTGTACATGAATGTTGTAGTAGCTTTATTCATAATCACCAAAAGTGGGGAAAAAACAGCTAGGGAATAGATAAATTGTTTTACCCACACATTCTGTATAACTCACCAATAAAAAGCACTGATAATACAGCAAAATGGCTGAGTCTCAGCAGTATTATGTATTTTGTTTTGTTTTCTTTTATTTTGTTTCTTTTTTGTCTTTTTGAGGCAGGGTCTCACTTTGTGGCCCAAGCTGGTTTTGAACTTGCAGCGATCCTTCTGCCTCAGCCTCCTGAGTGCTGGCATTACAGGCGTGCGCCACCACACCTGGCTTCAGCAGTGTTATGTGAAGGAGAAAGGCCAGACTGCAAGGGGCGCCTCCTGTGTGACTCCATGATGTTGCTTGCCGCCAAGGCAGGCCTGGATGGCCTGGGGAGGGGAAGCCGTGGGCTGTACAGGGCCTGGAGCTTGAAACCGTCACAGTTGTCTGTGCTTGTGCAGAAATGTAACCCTAAACATCCGCTCTCTTGTGCCAGGTCAGACCAGTTAATTCAGTCTGAGGGTGAAACTTTGCATAAGCCTTGCCAGGTGACTTGACTTTTCAGCCAGGGTTGAGAACTCTGAGCTACAAAAATCACCTAGAAAACTTGCAAAAAAATCATTGTATTGGAGCATTGATGTCCCCTCTTCCTCAACAGCTGTTTCAGAAGAGCTGGGCAGAGATTGAACCTTACGTGTAGTAATTAAAAGGCCAAGGGGTGTGGATTTTCCCACATTTTTTGCCATTGATGGCTCAGAGACTCTGGGCAGGTTTATTCATTGGTTATCGTTTTGCTGCTCTTTGACGTTCAAGCTGGTGATTATGAAAACAAACATCAGGAAGGCCTTGAAAAGAGCAGGGTCTGTTTAACCATTTGTGATGATGGCCCCATCGCGACTGAGGCTGTGTCCGGGTCAGGGTTGAGTTGGCCTTGCACAGCCATAGGATTCGCGTTGTTTTCTCTACCTTATGAGTAGACCCAGAGCTGTGGCTCAAATTGCACCACTAGGTGTCACCACGCAGTGATAAATGGCTGAACGGAGAGGGGTGCCAGGGTGAAATTCCCTGGGAAAAATTTGAGAGCTTATTTTTTTGACCAGAAAGGCTCTGCAGAAGGTGGGTTAGTGGGGAGGATCTAGTGGGGGGAGGACTGTGATATGTCTTGAAAGTTTGCCCGAGTGTTTTAGGGGTAGCTTAGTTTCTCTTGCCCGGGGCTAGTTCTGTAACCTTATTTATGTTACCTTATCTTCGCCTTTGGTGACTTTTTTCAGTTCTTACACATTGGTATTAGGTGACCCTCTATGTCACATTACTTTGCCTGAGACCTTTTTCCTGTGTATAATCTAAAATTGACTTTTCTGCACTAAAATTGTTCTCATGGAGATGGGTCTGGCTCTGTTCCCTCTTCGATTACTTCCCTGTGCCTTGTTTCAGAGTCTGCAGAACTGATCGTTGCTCATAGTTTTTCAGGCTGAACAGAAAGAATGGAAGAAAGTTGCTCCTTTGAGCCATGTTAGGCCCAAGACAGTGGGCCGCAGTCTTTGTGTATGTGTACATGTCTTTCAAACCAAATAATGAAAATAAAACCAAGACAAAAGCTTAATACCAAGTCAGAGCCGAGATCCAGTCTCTACCCCTGTCACCTTGGTGCCTGTGGTCAAGCCCGGTGTCCCTTGTGTTTGGGTTGGCCAGGGACAGCTGCCTATCCATCTACTCACCCTCCGCCCATCCATCGATCCATTTATCTGTCATCTTATTTATTGTGGCTGAAAGTAAGTAGCCATAGTTGCCAGTGTAAACAGCGGTTTTTCCTCAGTGTGGGGATCAAACCCAGGGCCTCACCCCATGTGAGGCAAGTGCTGAATTACTCTTTACCCCTAAACATACTAGTTCAGAAGTGAGTTTCGTCTCTGGCCTGTCCCCCAAAGTTCTTACTATTGGTTGAAATGCCCAGTGTCTGTTAACTCTAAGCCTGCATTTGTCCGTTGTAGTACCTGTCGTCTCTGTTTCGCACCCTTAGATAACCCTGCTCTGCGTGATGTTTCTGTTCATTTACAGGCTGTGCCCTGTAATACCACACGTATTTGTGCCCTTGTGTTGTCCTTTCCCTAGTCAGCTGCTAAAAGTTGTTTGCGTATCTTCTTTGGCACGTGATCTGTTCACCTTATGAGATGCAGTGCGCAGAACTGAAATGACTTGATAAATCAGCTGAGCCCGGACATAATAGTAGTGAACGTTTATAAAATGCCATGTGCCAAGCACTGTTCTAAGTGCATTACATGTTATCTCGTTAAATCCACACAAAAGCACGAGGGGGAGACTATTAAACGGGCTGTAAGTGGGCCATAGAGAGATTCACCCAAAGTCACACAGCTGTTAGTGACATGTTCATTGTATGTGAGTCACTGTGTTCCATGTCGTATGTGCATTGCCTTTTCATTCCTTACAGGATCAGTGTGACGTAAATACCATCCCATTTATAGTCAAAACAGGCATAGAGAGGTTAAACAAATCACTGAAGGACATTCAGCAAAGAAGGTGTTAGATATGGGCCATGAGCTCCAGCTCCGAACTATTAGTACCATTTGGGTCAGATATCACTTGTAGTTGGACTCCATACATGGTATTGGGGCTCTCTGTCTCTGTGGCTTATGGATACTGGGAAGTGCTTTGCTAGTATTGAAGGACCTAATTTAGAGACAGTATCTGGGGGACTTTCCAGGCCGGGCCTTCCTCGTGGACCTCACCATTACACGCTGCTAACTTTGTTAACAGCAGTTTTTCTGGCGTCAGGCCAGTGCCTCCAGTTTAGGTCAATAGCAGCAGTTCCATTTCAGTTTCCTTTAATGCTATCGTGTGTGTTGAGTGATTCATCCACTGGTAAGAGATGATTCTTTCCTGTTAACATAGGCATTTCTCTGGAAGCATGAATGTAAAATATAGGTAAAAAGCCAAATCTTTGTTGAAGAGTGCTATTTCTAAGTATGGTGGTATGTGAACATTTCTTTTTCTTTTTTTTTTTCTTTTAAAGATAAAAGGAGGGAAACATTAACAGACATACAACATTTTACAACATATCACAAGCACAGTACAGACAATACAGAGTTACAAACAAAGTGGTAGGGAATTAACAATGGTGGTTGTATTACATATTGATATCTTCAAAGTGGCTGAACATTTCTTTTTCTATTCTCAATACTTTTCCTTCTGAAAAGGCAGAAGGTTTTGTAGCAGCAAGAGAGACATTCCATTAAGAGGAGGAAAATTGGTGTGGGGATGCATGCCTATAATCTTGGAGCACTCTGGGAGGCTGAGGCAGGAGGATTGCAAATTTAGTTTCAGCCTGGGCAACCTAGCCAGACCCATTCTCAAAAAAAAAAAAAAAAAAAAAAAAAGCTGGGGATGTAGCTCAGTGTGAAGGTACTGAATTCAAATCCTTAATATTGGGGGTTGCGGGGACCAAGAGGAGGAGTAAGTGAAACTTACTTTGCCATTCTTTCCCTTTCCCCAGAGTCTGAATGGTGTTTGGCTGAATAGAGAGCGTCTGGAACCGTTAAAGTTTTATGTCATCCATCAGGGAGACCACGTCCAGCTTGGGGTGCCTCTGCAGAATAAGGAGCATGCAGAGTATGAGTATGAAGTTACTGAAGAAGACAGGGAGAAGATACTTCCTTATCTTGCCCCAAAGCGTAACCAGATGATGGAAAAAAATAAGGGCTTGAGAACTAAAAGGAAAAGTAGTGTAGATGAATTAGAGGGTCTTGGACACGAGGGCCCCTCACATTTAAAATCCAAAATAAGCAAAGTGTCTTGTGAACCTGACCAGCCAGTGCAGTCACCTGGGAATGGCGGAGTAGCCACTCAGCCCTCTGAATATTTGGATCCTGGGTTGGCTTCTCTTGAGGCAGGCAAGAAGACCACCAGGGCTCGTACTTATCCTGGACCTCCAAAAGTCACAGAGCTTTATCATAAGAAGCAGAATGCCTCTGCTTCTTCAAAGTCTTCAGCATCTCAGAGCAGCTTAGAACTGTTTAAGGTGACCATGTCCAGAATCATGAAGCTGAAAAGACAGCTGCAAGAAAAACAAGTCGCTGTCATGAACATGAAAAAGCAAACCCAGAGGGGGAGTGCGAAGAAGATTGTGAAGATGGAGCAGGAGCTGCAGGATCTACAGTCCCAGCTGTGCACAGAGCAAGCTCAGCAGCAGGCAAGAGTAGAGCAGCTTGAGAAGACTTTCCAGGAAGAGGAGAAGCACCTCCAGGTACCCCTAGGAGGGAGCAAAGCTAGGGAGTGGTTGGGCGGGGGGCACTTTATGAACCGTGGCCAGCGCTGCCTCTTTCAGGACCAGGGACCAAATTGGGACGCCAGGATAGGCTGAAGTGACTAGAAGAGCCAGTCAGGGTATAACTGGTATCAGGGCTCAGAGCTGAGGTATGTCAGGCCCCAGGTACACTCAGGCAGAAGTTGGATAAAGGACAGGATGCCACAGTACATGAGGACAGCTACCAGCTTAAAAGCCAGTGGCTGAGCCCCAAAGCCCGTGCAGGTCACCTGGTCACTGCCCTCGTACCTGATGGTCTGTTAGCTGTGAGTATTAGTAACTCTGTAGCTCACCTAACAGGAAAAGGCTAGAAGAGTATAAAATCTTTCGGTTTGTGTCCTGAGCAACCAGAATGCATAGGGACAGGTGTAAGATGACTTTATGTGGGGCTCAGAGATAAGCTGCCTTAGGAAGATAAAATAACAACTGTCTTAGTGGTGTCAAGGTAACACCAAATGTGTTCCCATCCCCAAGTCACTGCCTAGATGACAAGCTCTTGCACAAAGCTTCAGGCTAGAGCTGATCCTGTCTCTGCTCAAAATGTCAGTTCCCATGTGGCGGGAGCCAGAGTTACTCCCACCCAGTTGCTCAGGTGATATTGAATGTCAAGAATTCCCTGTTGTTGACTTAGAACTAAGAAGGCCCAATCAGCACTGAGGGGAATAAGCTTTCATCTTTTGCTTGGGTTGTTCAGGGCAAGGAACAGCCAGGAGTAGCTGTGGCTTATTTCTGAGCAGTTTATAAATTTCATGCTAATCTCTGCTGTCCACTTGAGCTGGCAGTGTTAGCAGAGGCTGTGGGTTAAGTAGCTCTTTCTGGGTATACACTGGTGTATGTCTGTACCTTTTTGTTTTCCTTAGCCTGCAGTAATTCTTCAGATTAATAGAGGGTGGTTTATGTGTGTGTGTTTGTATCACACCTTCACTGGAGCAGAACTGCCTTAAAGGACAATGTGTTCATGAACAAGAGTGATTGCTAACTAATATGTGTGGCTACTCTGTGTGCTGCAAGGTATAGCTACTAAATCTTTTTCTGTAGCAGACTGTTAAGTGTGAGAAGGACTGGTTTAGAGAATTTCTGCAGGTCATGCATAAATTGCTGAGTGAAGAAGTGTATCTAGTTCTTTGTATCAGCTGCATCTGCCCATGTAGCCCTAGGGATTTATCCTGCTTTTGCTGTTTGTTCAGAAACTCATTTAATCTTTGGTTTTTCTTTTTCTTTTCTTGGCGTGGGGTTATGGTGCCTCTGTTGCCTGACACTAAGGAGTTTTGCTGGATGTGAAAATACTGAAGTGGTTTTTACCATTATGTAATTTATTTTGTGAGCAGACAAGATGTGTTGTGCACATAATACAATGGGGGAACAGTTTTGAGTGACTATATTAAACTAGGCAACAGTTTCAAGTTGGGATGTTAAATGGGTAGGTAATTCCTACAGAAGCAAGAGACAGAGGTTCTTGTAGAGGAGCTAGGTATAGATTGGTGACGATACCAGAGAGGCCCACATAGGAAATGCAGCAGGTGCTCAGCCCCAGAGAGGAGGAGCGGTTTATGGGCTAAAAGCGTGTTGACTCGGGATTGAAGAGACGAGGTGGCCAGGCTGAGTGGGGGAGATCAGAGCTGAATGGAGTGAGGTGTTCGGTGGCTCGGCCGTTCTCCGTTAACGTCCCCTTGGGTGCCACGGCATTAGTAATGAAGGAGGCTTGGGCTGGCAGCCTGTGGCTTTTCCAGAACCACCCAAGTGGTGGTTTGAGCTGACAGTCCTGAGTTACTGCCAACAGCTTGAAGGGAAATGGGGGAATTACCGCCTGTTCCCTCTTGCCTGTTGTTTCCAGATGTTCACACTAGCTGGTTGCTCTGCTTGTTGCTGCATTTTATTGCTTCCCTCTGAAAGTAAACCTTCTATCTTGTTTTGGCTTTGCAGGGTCTGGAGAAAGAGCAGGTAGAGGACCTGAAGCACCAGCTGGCCCAGGCTCTGCAGGAGGTAACTTGTCTCTTGCCACTATGTGGAGATGGTGGTGGTTTGCAGGTAGGAAGCAGCAGGCTTTGCACGGCTCCTCACTGTCTCTGCTGTACAGCCCGCACCTCGGTGGCGTCCCCAGTCTGCACACAGAGCAGGTGGCAGCTGCTCGCACCATCAGGCTGGAGATTTGGAGCCTCACAGATACGCCAGATCGCAGCGTGAAAACTTACATCTTCATCTGAGCAGAGCTTGCTCTGGTGATGATGGAACAGAGCCTGTAGCAATTAAGGGAGGCTCTCTGGGGAAGCAGCTCTGTTTGCAGGAAGGTGAGGGCAGGCAGAAGAGGGGAACGTGAGCTGTGGCTTGGTCGCGGGGCCTGTGAGGGCCTCCAAACCCCACCATCCCTGAGCCATGGCTGTCCAGAAATCATTTGAGAATGCTCCAGTCAGCATTTCCGGTCAAGTTGGGAGGGTGCATTTTAGCCAATAAAACGTATTAATTTAATAAAAGAGTAAATTTCACAGAAATGAAATTCTCCTGAAAAACTTGTAATTTATTTTGTTTAGCTGCTTGCTGATGATTTTTCCTTTCCTTTCCTGTCCAATCCTGGCCTTGCCTGCTCCCCCTCCCCTTGCCTTCCTTCCTTCTTGCTGTCATTTTTTAAATTTGCAGTACTGGGAGTTAACCCCAGGGTTACTGCACTGTCCTATATCCCTAGCCCTTTTCTAATTTTTTCTTTTGAGACAGAGTCTCACTAAGTCACTCAGACTGGGCTTGAGTATGTAATGCTTCTGCCTCAGCCTCCCAGAGTGCTGGGATTTCAAGAGTGTGCCACCTTGTTCACCTTCTAGAATATCTGATTATTTCTTTTGCATCTTTGAAACCTGCTACTTTTCTGTCCTTTGTGTGTTATGATTATGAATTCGATGCAGGTGTGCTCAGGAAATCAGTGGGATGGCTCAGATCTCCTTGAGAAAAGTGAGCACCTTGCATTGGGATGTACCCAGGCGAGGTTGGCTGTGATGGCACCTAGCCTGTAATCTCAGCTAGTTGGAGCATGAGGCGGGAGGACCATAAGTTTGGGGCCAGCCTGGGCGACTCAGTGAGACACAAAATAAAATTCACTGGTAGTGTCTCTATGGGTTCAGTCCCCAGCACCAGTAAATGCATGAAGGAACGAGTGAATGGGCTGGGGTTGTAGTTCAGGGGTACAGGGCTTGCCTAGCATGTGTGGACCCCTAGGTGCAGTCCTGCGTACTGCAACAAAAGTGGGGTAGGGTGTGTTCAGGGGAATTTACATCCATTCATTATGTATGTGTCTCTCAACTTAAGGTACTAACAGTTACCTGGTAACTGTGTAACAGTTTGTCTTGATTTCATTGGCTTTGGAATGAATTAGATGATAAAGCAAGCCTTTTAGAATATTATTTTGAGCTTACTTCATAAGTCTGGAAAGTAGACGTAGTTCCCATTTGGAGCATTTTTAAATTAATATTTTTATATTAATGTACTGGAGAAGAGTAAGGTTTTATGCCTTGGAAATCCGTGAAGGATCAAATTTCCTGCACCCCAGCCCCTCACCCTGTTGAGATAGGAAGGCACACTATCATTTAGTGTAGGCCATCCATACATTACCCAAAGTAAGATGCTTTCAGGTCTTGTTTCTGTACCTTGCTGCCTGCCGCACGTGGCAGTCAGCTGAAGCAGTGGTGGGCTTTTGGTTGTTTGGTTTGGCTTGGCTTGGCTTGGCTTGGTTTGGTTTGGTTTTTGCAGTCCTGGGGATTGAACATATGGGTGTAGTACCACTGAGCTACATCCCCTGCCTTTTTCATTTTTTATTTTAAGACAGGGTTTCACTGAATTACCCATGCTGGCTTTGAACTTTGGGTCCTCCTTCCTCAACCCCCTGGGTAGCAAGGGTTATGAGCATGAACCACTGCACCTGGCTGCAGTGGTAATTTTTTGTTGTACCATGCTGGTCCCTCTGAAGTTCTCTTTACCCAGTTGATACAACAATTTCACTTACGTAGAACTTTGAAAACATTTCTGAATGCTTTTCATATCTATTGTTAGCAGTCTTTAGGCTGGGGAAGGCCCCTGTTTTCTCATTTTATAGATGAGAGAGTTAAAGCTCACACATCTAGTGAATGGATGGGGTGAAGCCCCAGGCCTTCTGACACAATTACTCTTTTCAGCAGACCACACATTTTAAATTTGGCTTCTTGAGTAATGACATTTTAGAAAAATTTACTTTTTCTCCACCTTCTTTTAAAAAGGATTTAAGGTTTTAAGTATAAGCTATACTTGGTATGCTTGGTTATGAAGAAACTCACAGAGTATGTTTCCTTTGATTGGGAATTGAACCCAGGGCCTTCCAGTTGAGCTGCATCCCCAGCCCTTTTTTTTTTTTTAATTTTGAGACAGGGTCTCACTAAATTGCTAAATTACCCAGACTGAGCTTGAACTCTTGATCCTCCTGTCCCAGCCTCCCAGAATGCTAGGATTATGGTGTGCAGCACACCCAATTTGTTTTCCTTTTCTGTTACCTTGTTTTGTGATGCTGGGGAGCAGACCCAGAGTTCTGGGCAAGATATGTGAGCTCTACCCAGCCTGTCACGGCGTTTCACAGACACAGGCCGTGAGCCAGTCAGTGGACTGTTGGCTCTTGGACACACCAGCCTCCAAAGACACTGGCCGGGTTCAGACAGTGCTGTGTAAGTGCATGGAGTGATTATTAGACTGAATAGGGTAAAGATCTTTTTGGTGAAAATACCTAGTTTTCTTGAATCCCATTTCCCCTTGCTTGTTTCTTAAAAGCTGCTCCCAGTGCGAGACACCTCATAGCTACTTAGCAGTTCTTGAGCACTGCCTCCCGGTCACTTGGGTGGCTGGTTTTGTGTGTGCACATGTGTGTGCGTGTGTGTGGTTTGGCGGATTGAACCCATGGCTTTGCACATGGTAGGCAGGTACCCCATCACCTAGCCTCATCCTCCAGCCCTTAAATGCACATTCCTGGTCCCCACCACACAGAGTTAGACTCCGGGAGGCAGCGAAAGTTCTTGAGTTTATTTGCTCAATCGCCGAGAGTGGGTGAGTTTCAGAGGGACCAATGGTTTCATAGTCTTCCTTCCCATCTGCCCATCCCTGTGAAGAAAGCAGCAGGGAGGAGGGGTATCCAGAATGGAGGGAGGCTTAATTTGAAATTGTCCGCTCACTGATCTGTGACCGCGGTCACCGGTGAGGCAGGCTGTGTGACTGAGGGAGCTGTTGTGCGGCCCATGCTGAGTGTGTCTGCTGTGTCTCTGCAGCATCAGGCCCTCATGGAAGAGCTGAATCGCAGCAAGAAGGACTTTGAAACAATCATCCAAGCAAAGAACAAAGAGCTGGAGCAGACCAAGGTACTGGAAAGAAGATGGAGGTTTAGACTTTGGTTAGTACGCGTAACTCAGCATCTTCAACAGTGCGAGGTTGCTATGGTGAACGAAGAGCGAGCTTGTGGCTGCTCGCTACCTCAGGGGAAATAACCTGTACAATTACTCAAGTCCGGAGAAGCTTCTGCTTGTGAGCGACATCTATTTCCTGCCCTTGTTCAGAAGCTGAGTGCTGGGAACGAGTCTCCTGCGTCCTGTACTTCAGGCCTTTGTCCGTGGTGGACGCTCCTTCAGACTAAGTGATGCAGTCTAAGGAGTTTTACAGTCAAAGTAGAAGTAGTTCATTTTGGTGTGTTTATGTAATCCTTTTCCCCTCTCACCCCGGGAGAACCTTATAAACACGACTGCCTGCCGGCATTAGACCAGTAGTAAGAGGGAGGGAAGGGGCCAGTGGAGCGGGAAGGGCCCCAGCCCCGCCCCAGCTCTTTGCTGCTTGGTCCTGCCTGAAAGGCACAACTGTGGCGGGCGTGTACAGGGGAACAGGGGGGCAGGAGCGGGAAGTGGCAAGCTGCACAGAGCTGGGTGCTGAGGGAGCCAATCTCTGCAGCTGCCAGCCTCTGGGGCGTACGGGTGTTCGACTTTGGAAGAGGCAGTTGCAGAAACACAAGGAGCCTTCTGGCCAATTCAGGCTTTTGGCCTCTCTGGACTATTCTGCACTGCTCTATTTTGTGCAGGGAGGTTTTCGCTGCTGGAGATGGTTTGCTACTACCTCTGAGCTGCTGAGCGCTATGGAGTACTTTAGTAACCTACCTTCATTTTTTTTTTTTTTTCATTTGGTTAATTTTAGGGAAGGAGACAGAAACTACCCTGCAGATTCTGGAAAAAATAGTGTCTTAGTCCATTTAGGTTGCGATAACAAAATGCCCTAGAGGTAGCTCGTATACAGGTGAAGTCTGAGAGCAAGGTGCTGGCAGATTGGTGTCTGGTCCACAGATGCAGCCTTCCTGCCCGCAGGGTAGGAGAGGGAGCTAGTGCCTTGGCCGCCTGTCTTTTGTAAGCCCACTAGTCCCTTTCCACCAGCCCCTCGTCACCTCCCAAAGCCCCCGTCTTAACACTGTCACATCATGGTTGGGTTTCAGCACCAGTTGTGAAGCGCATAGAACATGGAGAGAGGAGAGAAAGTATTTTGTCGAGATAAGAAGTGGGTCATAGGAAGTAGAGAGACGGGTCTTCCTCAAATGGGAAGGGGATCAGAGACGGAGGGGGAGGAGGCAGGAGAGGGAAATGGGAGGAAGGGGTGAATTGAGATGTGTTATGTGCGCATGCCAACTCCACACAGGGAGTGTTAGCATCATGTACTGCACACACGTGCTAGTTAGTAAAAACCAAAAACCGAAGAACAAGAAAGGAAGTTTGTGTTCTGTATTAGAAAGCACTTCTTTGTTTTGTGTTTTGTTTCTTGTTTTAGGTTTTTTGAGACAGGGTCTTGCTATATATTTCGGGCTGGGCTTGAACTCATGATGTAGTCCAGGCTGGCCTCGAATTCACGGCAATCCTGCTTTATAATAAAGCCTCCTGAGTGTGGGGATTACAGGCATGCGCTACCATAGCCGGCCTTTTTTTTTTTTTTTTTTCTTTTTTTGAGATGGGGTCTCTTCATGCATTGTCAGGCTGCTAGCTGAGGCTGCCCTTCAATTCTCTATCTTCCTGGCTCAGCCTCCAGAGTGCTGGGATTGTGGGCATGTGCTATCACACCTGGCTAAAAAGTAGTAATCCGTAGAGAAAGTATTTATCCTCCTGTTGCTGCACCAGAAAGGATGTTAACTTAGACTCCTTCTGATCCCTGTTCTAGACAGTCAGCCTTGTGTCTTGTCCTGGGGTGCATTCGTGGTGGCCTTCTCGGGTGACAGGTGGTATGTGTCTTTGCAGGAAGAAAAGGAGAAGGTGCAAGCACAGAAGGAGGAGGTTCTAAGCTACATGAATGACGTGCTAGAGAATGAGCTCCAGTGCATTATCTGCTCAGAGTACTTCATCGAGGTAATTGAAAACACTCCCTTCACACTGTGCAACCCTGCGTGCCTGTGAGCTCTCCAGGCTGCTTTTGCTGAAGGAAAACACCCTGTAGACATGCATCTTCCAGGAGCTTATTACGGCTGTTTGGTATCAAAGTGACTGTAGATTCTAATGACCCCCTCATTAGGTTATATAGTTCTTTCCCTTTACTGCCCTTTTTTCTTTCTTGTTCTTGAATATTTGTTGGTACAATTGACATTTTAGTTGCAATAAACCTTTTATCTGTTTTTAGAGAGAGGAAGAAAATGCCACACAGCATTAGGATTTTGAAGTATCAGGAGCCATCTGCTCCGTGTAGCTTTCCTTTCTTACTCGGAGTGGGCGAATGCTGCGAGGGGGCTTGTGGTGCCACCTTTAAGCAGGGTGGTGCATGTCATCGATGTGTGGTCACTTTGGGAATTCAGGGGCCAAGCTGAATGTGTTTCACAGTCTCTGAGGCTCCTTTTGAAAATGAAACATTTCCCCCTAGGCTGCTCTTTGTTACCTGTCGTATTTTCCTACTAGCTGTTTTGGTTTTCATAAATTTCTGTCATTTGTGACCAGTTTGTCTTACCTGCAAGTGTTAAGCTGAGGTTGGGAGAGTGACAGTTGTCAGACTCTTTAACAAAGGAAAACACACTCTTCCTCTTCGCAGGCGGGCTTTAGGGAGGCTGTGCCTCTTCACATCTTGAAAGGCGCTCCTGTTCTCCTGGGCAGACGTGTTTCTTTCGTTCTGAATCTACTTCGACTTTAGGTCATAATTTCTCCAGTAGTCCTAGAGTCAGGTGATTCCATACTTGGAGGAAGCATGTTGTTCTGGCAGGGCTTATCTAGGACGCCAGCAGAGGAAGACGAGGAGAGGAAGGTTGGCGAGGGCGGCGTGTCAGCCACCTCAGCGTCCGCACAGCCTGAGGAGACACAGCTTCCCCATGTGGTGTTTCTCGTGCTGCCCGATGTGTTCTGCTGGTCGCCTTCTCAGAGGTCACCTACCCTGAAAGCAGAAATGAGGACTTATGAACTCAGAAGAACTTGTATCTTAGTGCACAGAAACAAAAGTATAAGAGAATAGTTCATATTCTTGGGCACAAAAACAGCACTGGCAGACATGTGGCCATATCTGAGTGTTACGCAGAAGAGCCTCTCAAGGACGAGTCCTCTCTCCAAAGGCATATCTACCATTTACCTGTGGGTTCCAGCGCTGCACTGTGTATAATAGGCTTAGCTGCCCGTTATAGCTTTCAGCTCCTTTTCACCCAGCTTTTTTTTTTTAAAGTGCTGATAACCCAGGAACTCACACAAGCTAAGTAAGCACTCTACAGCTGAACTGTACCCCAGCACCTCACCCAGCTTTTTAGAGGCCTTTTATATTATTTCACTTCTGAATCTCTTTAGGGATGATAACTCCTATTACTCTCTTCAGTGTAAGCTCCCCTTGGTCTATGAAAATTGAGGTGCTGGTTGGACACTAGCAGGACATGAATGTGTTTTTCATAAGGGAACTGTGGATATACAACGTTTGTACCGTAACATTCACACACTTACCACTTACATCCAGTGGCATTTGTTTGCAGGGCGGTTAACCCACAGCTGGCATTTGGTGGAATAAAGCAGGCAAATCAGCTACCTGGGGCCTGGCTCTGTGACCTTCACTGAGTCTGTGATCTTACATGAGCTCTAGTCCTCTGAGAAAGGAGGAAATGAATCATTAACATGAAACTTCCAATTTCTCCACCCCAAGAGAAGCTGGAATGAACACCTTTGTGAGTCTGCAGATGAGACTGCTGTTAACTTTCCCCTGCCCTTGGAAGGTAGCTCCTGCTCTAACTTTGAGAAGGGCAGCATGACATTGTGATTTGTGTGTCCCATTTGCATTGCAGGCTGTCACCCTGAACTGCGCCCACAGCTTTTGCTCCTATTGTATCAATGAATGGATGAAGCGGAAGATAGAATGCCCCATTTGTCGGAAGGACATCAAGTCCAAAACCCACTCCCTCGTTCTAGACAATTGCATTGATAAGATGGTGGATAAGCTGAGCTCAGAGGTGAAGGAACGAAGAACTGTCCTCATTAGGGAGCGAAAAGGTGAGTGAGTATGAGACCCTGCCCCTTAGTAAAGGACTGTTCTACTTCCAAGCCTCAATGGGTTTTGTTTTGTTTTGTTTTGTTTTGTTTTGTTTTTTAATTGAGCGGAAAAAGTCAGATAAATAATAACAACAGCTATTATTAGTTGTGGTACTGGGGTCAAACCCAGGGCTTCTCGCACACCAGGCAAGCCCTACCACTGAGCCGTGTCCCATCCCCACTAATGACTCTTCAGTAAACTCTCGGCATTTTGGAAGAGATAGGAAAGCATGAAGGGAGTTCAGATAGCTGTGTGAAGGAGGTGAAGTGGAGCTAATGTCTGCTACTGAACACCAGGAAAGTGGAAAACTTAGGTGTGTGTTTTTGGTTGCTGGGAGTTTTGTTTTTCTTGCTTTTTTTTTTCTTTCTTGCTTTTTTTTTTTTTTTTTTTTGGTTGCTGGGAAAACAGATGTGATTTGAAAACATCTGGCTGGTCATGGTGGTGCACACCTATAATCCTGGCTACTTGGGAGGCTCAGCAGTAATTCAAAGTTAGCCTGACCTTGTCCTCCCAAAAGAAGAAAAGACACAGGTGGCTTGCTATATTGATCTCTAGGTGGTGTTGTTTCTCAGGACAGTTTAGTTGCTGTCCGGGTGTTACAGAATCTTTGAGCTGGAGCCAGGAGTGGTGGCGCACGCTTGTAATCCCAGCAGCCAGGAGGCTGAGGCAGGAAGATTACTGCAAGTTCAAGGCCAACCTGAACTGTACAGTGAAACCCTGTCTCAAAAAAAAAAACAAACAAAAATCTTGAATAAATAATTATAAATAAAATGTATACAAGACAAAGATTCACATTGGGAGAATGCCTAAAGAAAACACGTACAAGTCAAGTCCTGTTTGTAAGAGTCATACCTTAAGTATACAGGTTGGTGATAATAAGCTAAAGAGATATAAATGTAAGCCTACTGCATTATCTGTGGGGACCCTAATGGGTTTGCTAATACGCCTCGTATCAGATTTTGGGTAGCTAGACTGGGGAGAGGCTGGGTGAGTTCCTGAAGTGGACTGGAGTCTCCAAAGATCTGCTCACTTAGGGGCCTGCCACGTGAGCTGTGCTCTGAAGAGTACACAGTTGCTGTGCTTGGGACCTGCAGTGTGTCTTGGAACAGAGCCCAAGGAAGCTGATGGGTCGGAAAGGAGTTGTCACATAGGGATGCGTTGTCCTGGTCAGTCCCTTACATGGGAGCTTGCTGCCCTCCAGGCGCCAGGTGGCCATTGAAAACCTTGTTCATGCGTGTCTCGGGTTGGACCTTTCTCACATCCAGAGGAGCTGGAAGGCCTTAAAGGCCAAACTAGCAGGAGTAGGCTCTCTGTCCACAGCTCCCTTTCCCCAGCCCCTCAGCAAGTGTCGGCCGCCCTGAGTAGGGCCAGGATTCTGGTGCTGCGCTGCTGGCTGTCGTGTGAAAGCGGCCTTGGGTGTTGAGCACCGTGGAGACAGCGAGCTCGGCACAGAGCACTGGGGTGTAAGCACTCAGCAGGAAGTGTGCCTGAGCCACTTACGTCAGGGCGGACATTGGGGCCTGTTGGAGGGTGCGGTGGCCTTCGCTCAGCCCTTTGGAACCAGTGTTTCCCACCTCACCGACGCCCGTGTGCCCTATTTCGTGCCTGGTTTTGAGTCACCACGGAGTTTCACCTCCAGGGGGCCTGTGTTCTGGCGGAAGCCCACTGCTGTCCTCTCCACCTCCCGTCACAGGGACACAGCACTAGACATCGGGCTGAGGGATAGGCGAGGCGTTGGCCTCACAGGATGCGCTGGCGCTAGGCTGCACTCTCCAGCAGGGACCCCTTCATTTGACCTGGGTAGTGCAGACAGGAGAGAACTGTAGAGGCTGTGACTGGAACTGAGCCTCAGAGCTTCCCGAGCAGAAGGAACTGTGCAAGCAAAGCACGGAGGAACGCGGAGGCGGTGATCGGCCCCCACTCCTGCGCCTGTCACCCACATGAGAGCACTGTGTGGGCTTGGAGGAGGCCAAGGCATAGGAAGCCTTCCCTGAGCCTGGTGAGGCTTGCTCTCTTCTTCCTCCTGCCTTTTAGAGGTCCTGTGACGCAGGAATCCAGATTTGTCCAGGACCAGGTCGTGACCTTGGGGCTGCAGTGTGCTGGGCCCACGTCGGGGTGGTGACGCTGCTGCGTTCCTCACGCCTCCCCTGCCTGGGTTCCTTCTCCCAGGTCCAGACGCTGGTGACGTCGTGAAGTACTGGGGATGAAAGAGCCGTGTCCCAAGTTTGCCCCTGCGTCCCGTACACAGTTAGCTGTGCCGCGTGGACACAGAACGCCTTCTCTCCAGGCTTGAAGAGAGTCGCTCTTGGCCGTTGCAGCACAGGAAGGCTGCACAGTGCACGCAGCCGCCCTTGCAAGCACCTGCCGAGAGAACTCTGCAGCCGTCCTGATGCGTGCAGTTATCGCGCGAGTGCAGCTTGGAGGTTTTCTCTAGGCCTGGACAGGGCTGCAGAGGCTGAGATAAGGAAGATGCGCCCGAGCCAGAGCTGCAGGGTGTTAGGAAAGCCCTGGGTTCAGAAGCAGTCCCGCCTGCGTGTTCAGCGGGAAGTGGTCTAAGCCTCAGAGCATGGGAATGTTTGAAAAGGATGAAATAGAGAAACTGGAGTCTAGGACTGGCAAGGGTAGAGATGCCAGCTTCGACACTGCAGCAGGGCTCCAGGCGGGAGCTGCTCTTCCACGCACTCAGAGGGGCCCCCGTGTGCCTGGGGCTGCCTGTGGAGAGGGGCCCATGCTCTCTTGTCACACTGCTGAAGTTCTGTTTCCCAGTTGTGGGGAGGGCCTTGAGACTGATTGCCCGTTGATCTCATGTAAACTCTGGGACCAGAAGACGGGAGGTGTGAGCATGGTCCCCAGCTGGGGGAAGGATTTGCAGGAACTGGGCTAGACTGTAGACAGAGCCCGGTCACAGGGGTAATTGTGGCTTGCTGGAGTTCTGACCTGGATTTCTTCCGAAGGTAAAGGGTTTTGGAAATTCCTGTGGGAGAGCTGGTGTGGGAGTAGGGGGCTCCCCTCCCCATTTCTTCTGCTCGCATTAGGTGGTAGGCAGTTGGTTCACAAGCATGTTAACACTGTCACTTTCTTTTTTTTTCCAGTCCTGGGGATCAGACCCAAGGCCTTGCGTGCGCCAGGCAAGTGTTCTACCCTTGAGCTACATCCCCAGCACCACACTCTTACTTTTGACTTTCTCTAGTAGTTTCTTTGGGTTCTGTTTAGAAAAGAAAAAGGCAAAAGATGTAGAAATGCATCCTTTAGAAGAGTAATTTTCAACTTGGGCTTTTCCAGACGCTGCTCCCTGGCTCCCTTGGTGCTCTGATGTGGGGTCGGGACTGCTGTCCCGTCACCTGCGGGCACCCCAGCAGGGACGAGGTCAGTGAGCCACAGCTTCTGTGATCTCAGAGCTGAGGGAGTGAGGGTCTGGGAGATCACACCACCGGTGCCTGGAGCATGAGGGATGGGTGCAGAAGTGGAGGAGCAGCGGGCAATCTCTCCCTGGAAGCCTTTTCCATGCGGCCGTCTTCCTTTTTGGAAAGACAGAGCCTCCCACAGGCAGCAGCAACTGGAACGTCCCAGGAGCTCGAGTTCCTTGTTGACTGTAGTCCTTGTGATTTCAAACCCCTTTCCCGTCTGGAGGTAAAAAGCTATTCCCTGACTTCAGTGCACCATGGTGGGCGGTTTCTCCCCTCCACCAGGAGCGCCTGCTGCAGGCAGCCAGGGAGGTCCACAGTTCAGGGGAGGAGCCGTGTGGTGCTGTGGGGCTCCTTCATTGCCTCCCCAGTGTGTGGAGAGTAAGCTTGAGGGAACCAGGCCATGCCAGGGTGGGTGGTCAGGGCTCACCCAGTACACTGCCCTAGACACCGGTACAGGAGAGGCCGTGACGTGTGCTCCCACCATGCCGTCCTGAGGTGAAGACGGGCACCGGCTGCTTGGGTGGGGTATAGTTGCTGCTGGAGGCTGGCAGGGCAGTGCCCAACGCCACTGGCTCAGTTTACCCAGCAGGAGCAGACTTCGAGCTGGGAGTCGAGGTCTGACTTTTCCTTTGTGTCTTCTTTCTGGCTGCTGATGGGAAAGCCTGGGGTGGTGGGAGTGGGAACAGGGAGGCCAGGGCAGGGGACGCAGGCTCCTTACTTTTTGTTGTGCTCCTTTCCAAAGCTAAGAGGTTGTTGTGAAGACTGCTGCAGCGTTGGAGAGGCTCCACCATGGGAGCTCAAGGCGGGCTGGGGGAGTCTGCCCTCCGTGAGCCGGCCTGTGCGGGAGTCATCTGAGAGGCCGCGTGGGACAGAGCCTGCCTTAGCAAGCCCAGCGTCACTCGCTGTCCGTGGTGGCCAGCGGCTGTCCTCACTGTGGAGCCTCGGCGGGACTCAGCGCCGGCTGCTTCAGGGTACTTAACAGACTGCTTCACTACCCATTAAATGGGCTGTTGAGTTCTGTTTGTTGGTTTTAATTTGTTGTTACTGTTTGTGATACCTCAGAAACACTGCTGTTGACCTTTGTTTTGGACATTAGGGTGTGACCCGTGGGCCACTGAAGGCAGCCTGTATTTTGAGTCCAGTTCACCTCCTTTTTGTGAAAACAAGATGTCATGTCTTGGGAATAAAATATAAAACTTACTGGTTGCTCAGCTGGGCTTTGGTGTGTTTACCTTCCTTCCTTTCCAGCTCCCAGGCAGTCTCACAAGTAGACACTGGCAGCTCGTAGATTACAGCCAAGACAGTGATCAGATGACAGACTGCAGAGTGCATCAGCGGGGAAGCCAAGCCAAGGTCACGCTGCGCCAGGCGGGGGCTGCGCATCCTCTGCTGCCCTTGTGTGGAGTGGGTGGGAGTCCTGTCCTTCAGCTGGTGTTGTGAGGGTGTGCCCAGATGTCTTTGCCACAGTGTCCTCAGTACATGGACAGTGATTTTTTGAGAGATCTGTGCTTTTTATTTTTCTTTTGGTTTGTTTGTTTTTGTTTTGGGGTACCAGGAATCGAACTCAGGACATTGTGCTTGCCAGGCAGGTGCTGTACCACTGAGCTAAATCCTCAGCCCCATCTTTTTTTTTTTTTTTTTTTAATTGTTTCTATGCCAGGTATGGTGGCGCACACCTGTAATCTCAGCACTTGGGAGGCTGAAGCAGGAGGACAATTGAGAGTTCCAGGCTAGCCTGGGCTGCATAAGCAAGTTCAAGGCCAGTCTGGACTACATTGTGAGACCCTGTCTCAAACAAACAAAAAAATTGTCTCTCTATAACTCACTTCCCCTTTTTAAATAAAAAGAAAACTCATTTTGATATTTGAGAGATAGAAGCGTAGGACAGTCTGTGATATCCTTGATTACCAGTGATGAGAAGGAGGGAAAATAGAAGGCAATCATTTGAAACACAGAGCTCTCCAGTAGGATTGCAAGACTGTGACTTGTATGTCGTTGTCTTGATTATTTTTCTGTCCTTCCTGGGACAAAACACCTGACACCCAAAACTAAGGAAGGAAAGGTTTATTTAGCTCACAGTTTGTGGAGGTTTCAGTCTGTAATCACCTGGCTCCAAGGCAGGGTGGCACATGGCAGAGGGGCAACAGTTCAAGATGGCAGAAGGCTGCAAAAGCAGCAAGAGCAAAAGAGGGAAGAGTAAGCCTCTTTTCCTCCATTATATTGTAAACAGGCTGCCAACAGTAGGGCAGGGTAGCTCTCACACCATCTCCCCGCCCTCCTCCTGCACAGGCTCAAAATGTTTACAAGCCAGGGATGTAGCTCAGCGGCGTAAGTGCTGGCCTGGCAAGCCCGAGGTCATGAGTTTGATTCCCGGTACCAAAAAAAAGTTTACGACATGAGGACCCTGACCCCCTGCTGAGTCACTTAGTTAAACTTATCAAGTTGACAGAATGAATAATATCCTAGAACTTAAGGGCATGTCCTCTACACACTAGGATGTAGAACTGCTGAGTTAAACTTCTAGACTTCTCAAGTTGACACAGTGTATCAACCATTACAGTTATTAAAGATGTGCTTCTCCCTTTTTACTATCTGCCTATTTCTCTGTGTGTGTGTGTGTGTACACGTGTGTGTAAGTAGATGTGTATGGCTCTGTGTGTTTTACTGGGGATTGAACTCAGAGCCTCCTTTGTGCGAAACTTACATTCTACCACTGAGCTACATCCTTTTCATTTTTTTTTTTATTTTTCGATAAAAAAATTATTTTTTATTTTCTTTTGAGACAGGCTCACTAAGTTGCCCATGGTGTCCTTGAATTTATAACCCTCCTGCCTCAGCCTCCTGAGTAGCTGGGATTATAGGTATGCATGGAATTCTTTATATACCATGCCTTTTCATAAAGGATCGGAAACAGTGGATTTAGCAACATTTAAGAGGTGACAGGAATTTTTGGGAAGTTTTTTCCTTTTTTGAATATGTTGCAGAAAACATGCCAAACACGGGGAAAACGGCACTGAGGAAGTTGAGGCAGTTTAGTACACCAGTGGGCTTCTGACTAAGATCTCTCCTAAAGAGTCAGAGCCACACCTGGTGGGATTTTGGGACTTCTAAAGGAAAAGTGAGGGGGGAGGTACAAAGGCAGATTTGGTGCATATCACTGGAGGGTTGGGTGACGTCTTGGGTTGCTGGAGGAGTTCACATAGCTCAGTTACATTGTAAGGCCATCAGTTAAACAGGCATGAGTTACACAGAAGAGGAAGTGTCCTGTTATATTTGAAGCTACATTGCAAGGTCATCATTTACAAAGGCAGCAAAGAGGGGTTTATACAAAGGGAGAAGTGTTCTGTTAGTGGACCTGAGGATCACGTCTGCTTGGTCTTGGCAGGCATCCTGGGTAGGCTTTTATGTAAAATTTTCATTTTCCCCATATCCTGTGGCTGCTCTGGTTCTGGAGTCCCTAGTCTTCATTTCTGTCTTCTCTCCCTGGTTACTGATCGGGACACTGGTAGAGGGCACGCGGCTCGGCGGTAGAGCACCTGTCTAACATGTTGTGTGTTCAATCCCCAGGACCGAAAAGGAAAAAATACTGGTACAGAGAGGAAACGGACGTAAGGTTAAACACAGAAAACTTACTTCTCAAATATAACAGAATTATTATATCCACTTTATAAAAGTTCTGAAATAGAGAACAGAAGGAAGAGATTGGAGTCTCTAGGGTGGGCTCGGGGCGCAGCCCGGGCAGCAGCTGCCCAGGGGAGCCGCGGTGCCGTGCACAGATGGCAGCAGGGCTCCGGGGGACAGGCCAGGCGAGGCGCTGGTCCTGACCACCAGGTTCTTCGCTGGGTGTACAGTGGTGTCTCGCAGGAAGCCCCCGCATGGGCAGACTTGGTGGAAGGAGAATGAGGCGGAGACCTAGGAGCACGGCCGGAGCACCGCTTCTCCCAGTGGGACAACCTGCCGAGGCTGAGCAGGACGAGCAGCTGCCCCACCCCCCAGCACAAACTGCAACAGCCGCGGTGCTTCTTCCAGAACTCAGCCAGCACGGGGCCGGCTGAGCAGTGCGTTGGCGGCCAGGACTTTCCTTTCTCTCTCAGTTCTCTTCCAAAATGCAGTCCCTCTGTCACCAGCCTCCACAGAGAAAACACGGATGCCCATCCACGAAGTTTTGATGTTGGAATTCAGATCGGCCGTCAGCAATGCAGTAAGGGCATGTTGGCTTCCGTTAAAAAACATGGAAGAACTATACTCAGAGAAGATTTCATCGGCTTCCAGTGTGGAAATGTTCCTCCACTGTGAAACTCTAGAGCTCCCTGAAGACTGACTATAGCGTCCCCTAACCGAGCTACTTCAGCAGAAACTAGCTCCCCTGTAGACACTGATGTGCAGCCCTCCTGGGAAATCCGAGCCCTGCATGGTAAAGCTGTTTAAACATTTCTTTGGAAAAATGGTTGAAAGTGCCTGGGGACCCATTTTCATGTTTAGCCATAGGTCCAGATAATATTGTCTGCTTTTTCTCTGTTTTGGTAAACACTTGCTCTAGAAATGTTTGAACTAGAAGTAAGTTAAGGATTTATGGGCAGGTTTTGACTTTTAGAAAGTATAGATTTTTTGTTTTTGTTTTTTGGAACCAAGAATGGAACTCAGACAGGCGCTATGCCACTGAACTACATCCCCGGCCCTGGGTTTTGACTTTTTTTTTTTTGGTATGGGGAATCGAACTCAGGACCTTGCGCTTGCCAGGCAGGTGCTTATACCGCTGAGCTATATCCCCGGCCCTGGGTTTTGACTTTTTTTTTTTTGGTATGGGGAATCGAACTCAGGACCTTGCGCTTGCCAGGCAGGTGCTTATACCGCTGAGCTATATCCCCGGCCCTGGGTTTTGACTTTTAGATAAGCCATCCTAAAAATATTTTTAGAAAGTTAGTTCAAGCATATTGGTGTTACAGTAACAATCTTTGTGCAACCTTGACCAGAATTCATTGCTTTACTTTATATGCCTGTTTTCTTACTCTTCTGAGTTAAGGAAGTTCTTGTGTCCTGAGAATTCTACTACATGTGTAGTTGCTTGGGAGCCGGGTCCATGATGGGCAAGTAAAGCAGGTGGTGGTTGGGTTAGTTCTCTCGGAACTGGGAACTGCCGGAAGGCATTGTTGGTTGAGGGGCTGCAGTGTTAAAGGGGAGGCCTGAGGAGCACTGTCAGTGATCGGGTCTCGGTCTGTTGTTGCTGTTCTCTAATACAGACTTCCACACAGAACTGGGCAGCTGTCCTCTGTAAGACAGCGCACAGTACTGCTGCTAAAAAAAGCGACAAGATAATAAGAGTTGGTTGAAAACGTGGACCAGATGACTAAGCAAGAAGTAACTAGTGAGTTAGTGAAGCAGGTCATGAATCCTGTTAAAAGTTACCATTTCCGGGCCATAGAGCAGGTCATCTTAAAGTTAACCTGGTAATAAAAATAATGTGACAGATGTACCGTAGTCCCTGACTTATGAATGAGTAATGTTCCGGGAGAACATTCGTAGGTTGGATTTGTTGGGGGCTGGGGATTTAGCTCAGCGGCAGAGCACCTGCCTGGCAAGCGGAAGGTCATGAGTTCGATTCCTGGTACCAGAAAAAAACAAAAAAACAACAAAAAAAGGATTTGTTCTAAGTCTGACAAAGTGAGTCATATACAATGTAAAGCATTAAAAAAAAACACAAAAAGCTATAAATAAACTTTTTACTTTTATAGTTACCTTTAAATGATGATACAGTGCAGTATTTTTCCTGTTGTTTCCATGGTTATTGCTTTGTGCTTCCTAGCATCCCCTCCACGTCACCACTGCTTTTCCTCTTGCCACCAGACATCTTGGGCTCTGATTAAGCACCTTACTACTTTTTTTTGGTACTGGAAATCAAACCCAGGACCTTGTGCTTGGCTTGCCAGGCAGGCGCTGTGCTGAGCTATATCCCCGACCCTGAGCACTGTACTACTATACATTGTCACACTGTGTGGTAATCACACAGCACAACTGTGACAATGTCCGGCAGACCTGGGGGCTACTTCCATGGTTTGTCACATCTAGGAAGGTTCATAGTACAAGGTCCATTTGTATCTACCTATGGAAATTCTCAACTCAAATGTCCCTAAATTGGGGGAGGAGCTTACTGTGTATATAATCTATGTCATTGAATCTCTGATGCCTGTAGAGATCCTTACTCTCCTGGCAT